GGGCAATTCAAGTGTACAACACTACAGGCTGGCCACCTGTGCGCGTAACACATTTTTACGTTCTCTCCTCAAACTATAAACAAATGGAGCTACAAATAAATGTACCAAGTTATTACACAAGAGACATAACAAAAGAAAATAGTAATATTGCGAACCGTAATTTTAAATATAAATGAGATACGTAGAAACATTGATAGACACATGAATCCATTTCACTTTTCAAAGCGCTGAACCGTCAATGTATGTTATTGGATTTATGATGATGTCATACCTTCGTATTTTCTTTCTTGTTATCTACCAACCAACCAACCAACCAACCAACCATGCATTATCAACTAAAGGCACAGGTGGGATTGAATCTAGAAGTGAAATATTTAAAGTTTTAATAATAAAATGCCAATTTATTAAATCTAATATTTTTGTTGGAATTAACAATGTTCTTTGAATTCAAGCGATATTATTCTGACCACGACATTTAATTTTTCACGTGATAAAAATGCCAGCCATCACATACCTGATGACCAGAACTCATTCAACTTTCATAGTTCAATCAGCGTGCTGAGAAAAGTACGTAATTTTTTAATTATTAAGTTTAAAATAAAGCTATTAAAAGTTCTAAATTCAAGCCAGGTAATTATTTTAAACTAAATATAACATGACGTTTGTTTTTATAGGTTCATCCTGCAGATTCAAATTTTAAAATATTTTAAAGAAATGAGCTTTTCTTATTGGATTGCGTAACATTCTTTTTCCAAATTTTATTACAAGTAAAATATGTGTTCTTTGGAGACCTATAAAAAATAAATAAATAAAAAGTCATATTTTATATGTAGGCTACACTAAAAAATTTTGTTTACGTTAAAGACAGTCAATTTTGAGGCGAGAAAACTTGATACCCCCAAAAACTAAGAAGAGAAACTATAAATCAATGGTTAAATGTGTATGATAAAATATTTCATGCATATTTTTAAACAAAGAAATATGGTTTGAGAAAATAAGGTAGTTATTTTGTAATTTTTTATCAGTAGGACAACATCCAGAGGGTCAAAACGAACCGAAATGCATTTTGTTGCATCAACAAATCTAATAAATACACTCGACATGTTATACATGGAACAGAACAGTAACTTTTGTAGGTAACGTGAGCTTTTGTATGTACTGAGCTTTTGGAAATCCACCTTTATAATTGAAGGTCAGACGGGGAATTTGGCTGTCTTCGACGGCAGACTGCCAGCACTTCAAACGTATTCGACAAAACAACTGTCTTTGAACAAAACAACACATATTTCCTTTTAATGCTACATGTAATTTTAACACTTCCCAATGGTTACATAACATAAAAACTAAATTTGTACGGGTCGGATATAAGTACACTATTTACAAGTTAATACATGCCTTGATACCCAGTGAGGTATATTTTGGACGCAACCGAAATTTTAAGTGTCTTGCGATTTTTCATAAAGAAATATGAGTTTTCAATAGGAGTAAAACGTGTGAAATTAAAAGGTATTCTATAAGTATCAAAGTATATACTGTATCTTTGTATATACCGTATATACAATATTAATATCTTATACTGGATATTTGTTTTATGTCAGGAAATGTTTGAATTAAGTTTCAAGGTGAAATTCCAGTACCCAATAAATCAACTGCATTAAAATGTAAGATACTTTTTCCATCAACTTTATGGGCATTTAATTAGTACATAATGTGCATTAGTCAATTTTATTTCCATCAACTTTATGGACATTTAATTAGTACATAATGTGCATTAGTCAATTTTAACCCTTTCCGTCCTAATAACAATTGGCATTATGATTTGTTTTTAAGTATCCTGAGTCTGTTAAAAACATGTGTTACATTTTAAATAAACACATATTGAGTCTTAGAAACAGTAAACATGGAAAGCATATTTTTAGGTAGACAATAACGCAAACAATAAAAATCAGCTGATCAATAATAAAAGCAAAGTTAAGATCCCTGCTGATTATACGGCTAGTTTTGTACCTTACAAGTGAATGACTATACTTGTAGTTTGGATTGCGTTTTATAAAAGGCCAAAATTACGTGGTTTTCACCAATGTAAAACCCCAAAAATGTTAATAACATAAATACTACAACTGTCGCACCGTTATAATTGATAACAATATCAACTTTTAACACCATTTATAGCACTTTGCTTGTTATGTAGAGAGTGCTAAACTGACATTTCGAAATATATTGTAGCAATAAAGTAGCCACAGTCTCGCCAATATTGTAACAATGAAATTACTATTGAAATGGACGATATTGTGTAGTTGAGGGAAACCAAATACACAATACAGGAAAATACAATACTTCAACGCTTTAGTGGCCAATATTGTCATAAAGCATGTTGACGATAAAGAATTTTAAAGATTGTATTGTTATATTTTACAACCTGTTAAAACCTAATATTACCAATTGTGTCGTATGGCGTTGTTTTGAAAGATTTTGTGATTAATATAAGCAGATAAATGATAAAAAATACTTAAAAAACAGACACTGGAAAGTTTATTTTTGTAACAATTTAATAGCATATGAAAATTCGTATCAACACTTTGAAGAATATAAATAATCGAAGGTACCCGGCTAGTCTGAAGAATTGATTTTGTTAATTTTATTTTGATGGTTCTTACAGATTCTTAAATTGCAATATTTTATTCATGTATGAAGGTTAAAAATGGGAATACCCCATTTGTAAACTATATAACCCTCATAAAACCCAGTTCCTGTAGTCCAATCACACTGAATACGAACAGATTAGAAAAAAAAAAACAGCTTTACAAGTTTGTACAAAATTTCATCAAAATCAAATATTATCTACTCGAGTCATCGAAAATGGATTTGAACGGAATTGTGCTATTGTCCTGTAGGTCCAAAAAGAAAATATAGATTGGTCCAAGACCCCACTACGATCGGTTCCGGGTCTAGGTCTTACCATAGCTGATTCCCTTTATGGAAAACCCGCTTAATTATTTGAACTGGGTTGCGCATATTAACAAAGTTACACTTTGCCATTAAATTTAGATCAACTCTGGCCGCACCTTTGGGATATTTTAAGCCCTTAAAACTCGGTCAACTTCTCATAATATATAGATTATTTTATAAATACGAAAAAGACGAAAAAGATAAATTTATAATGCCTCCAATTTGATGAATTACTAAAAAAATATTAAGGGCACTATACCCCCACTTCTTTTTTTATTTTAAAAGGTTAAGTAGGTCGTCAAGGAACTTTTAAAAGAGCAGAGATCTTTCACTGGAAAGATGAACGTGTCTGTAGGAAGTAAGGCTTCAGGAAAAGTCAGAATCGTTTTGTGATATTGGATTTTATATGTGTCTTTGAGAGCACAATAGGAAATTTCCAGGATATTTGAACCCACTTTTGACCTTTACGAATCATTTAAATTTATCACTGTCAGGCAAACCTGAAATTTATAAGCAGTGCCTACTTAAGAACATAGCTTAGTTTTAACATTGAGTATAAACCTAACATTATGTTATGTCTATGTCTATACTCAATGGTTTTAAGGTCTAAATTTTTCACAAACTATATGCTTGATAGCATTTTTTGAACATTTTATCGGTAGAACAAAGTAAATGTAGATCAAGATCAGATTCAAAAAAGGGTTAAATCATGGATTTACGGTTTTGATAAAATTTTATGGTTTAGACTTTTCAACCGTAGTAGGCCTAGTAGGATAAATTATAATTATATTACTTACTTAATATGTGGTTGTATTATAATATAATACAATATTGTTGTACAATATGTGTGCACTACACATAAAAACCTCAAAACCCCCCACAGATAGTTAAATATTTAAACCCTAAGCTGAGTTTTGATAATATTCCAAACGATTTCTTAACGCAAAGAATATTTCGTAAAAATCTGATTAGTGAGGTATTCAATATTTAAAACAAAATTTATACCTGGAGATTTTTAAAAATTGTACACCTTTTCTTCATAATTTTTTCACACAGTCAATCAAAGCATGAATACCGCCATAAGGCAGGTTTAGAGGCGGAGAAGTCTAGCCATTTTGTCGCTCACTAACTCACTTAGGGCCTCTTTGTCGCCAAACGATGTTCTCGCGAAATAGGGTTGGAGCCTGTTAATTACCGAGTATGTGCTTTTAACGGCCAAAGCGCTCTTAACAGCCTACATCGATCCAATTTGGATGTTACTTCACCATTTATATGTAACATTGCCCCTTGCAGCTTGCGCGCGACCAAACTATTTGACACGAGCAAATAGTTCGAGGCAACCCAAGTACTTAAACCTTTAAAATTAAGGTTTGGAGCTTATTTCGATTAAGCTGGCTATTTAAACTTAAATTTTAACCTAAAATGACAAAGGAGGGTTTTTTTGTTTTAGACTTTTTAACTAATATAATCTAATAAATTATTATAATATATTAAGATTATCGAAAAGTCTATTACAGAAAAAGTCTTATTCATATTAATACTGAAAGGTCTCACAGACGTCAAGCAAGTATTGTAGGCCTAATCGGTTACGAATTTAAGTAATACATTTCATAAAAAAACTTATTTTATTTTTTTCTAAACCATAAGTGAATTCATATTTTCTAGCGGTTACTTTTCCTTACTTAAGCATCTACAGTTCTGGTTTTACGGTCTCGTCAATCAAAACATTAAAGGAATCATTAAACATTACAGAACTATGAAATACAATTTTCGTTTTCGTAAATACATAAAAACAAAACTGTTTTCAAATAGTATTTTGAAATTCTTTTAAATCTACTTGATCAATTCATACTCTAAAAAAGATTTTCTCTAGTAAAAAAAAACATCTTTTAATTTGAATTAGTTTACTTTAGGTACGAGTAGAAATTTATATTATGTTGGGAACCTACTAAATAGCCCGTCCAAACGATTAGTGAAATGCAAAATAAAAATAAAAAATAAAAACCTCTTAAAAATGAATATTTCCAAAAATGTCTTAAGCATAAACATACCTTCTTGTTGGATTTGAAGACGTTGCATTTGAACACGTTGGTAGCGCCATCTCTCGCAATGTAGCTGAAGATTTTGAGATCTTGTGAGTCGTGGGATACGTAAAATATCCTGCAACAAAACAAACATTAAATTTACGAATCAATTTAATGACAATCTTGATCCAGGATAGCTTAGGTAAATTATGGCAATAGTTTTATTTTATTTTTATATGCCACCTGCACATTTTAGGATACTTGGTTCTAGCCCGGAACTGTTTTGCACATTACTATATGCTAGTCCTAAAGTAGAGTTTCGGCATTATCAAATAGATGAACCCATTGTTGATTGGCGGGATTTGAACCCGGGACCTCGGGGTACGAGGCACCCACCACTAATTAGGGTTATAGTTGGGTAGGTATAGCTGTTTAAAGCTTTCTATCAGAATGTTAGTTGTTTTTTTTATGTAAATAGTAAAATCAGTAAAATTGAATGTTTTCTTCGGCAATTTTGAGTTTTAAGTACTAAGACAGCAAAATTCTGGCAAGAATTTTATTTCGAATGTATTAGAGGACTTTAAAAAAAACTGGACTATTGCAAGAATAAAACTCGTTAGAGAATACCACTTAATAAAACACAATCTACAAACAAAAATTTAACTTTCAAGCAATAACTTTTTAGACGACGAAAATGTATGGACAGGTAAAGAAACATGTAACGTTCAGAAAAAAGTGAAACACATATTATAATCAAAGGTGAAATAAACATACATTTTGTGAAATGTTTTTTATAAAGAAATCAAACTTTACCATACCATTTTACAATACTAAGTACTAAAAAGTGTAATACACCAATTAAAATAGTAAACTGCAAAACAAAAGTTAAAACTTTTATCAACAGCAAATCACGCACATGAGAGCTTAGAAAACTTTAACTGAAATTAATATTTAAGTAAAATATAAGAAAAAAAACTCATAACCAAATCCTTAACGTAATCAGAATGCAGATAGGATGTCTTAAAGTACGTGTAAAAAACATTACCACTACAAACTACTTTTAAAAACAAAAGTAATTTTTTGAAAAATCATTTTGGTTGATTAACACATAGAAAAGATTGCTAAACAAAATAAAAACGTGAAACTAACAACCACACATCATAAAAGCACTGAACGGACCATGATTGCCTGCATTGCAGATTGTAAGAGGCAAGAGTCTTCGGAGCAAAAGGAATCGCCTTTCAGTGTATCGCATTAATAATTCATATCCCAGATGTGGCCTTTCGTGTGTTAATGCATCGCTGGGAATCTACCATTCTTTGTGTTCAAATTGCGATTTAATATTTACACATTTTCCAAAAATATTTACTAACTTTTTTATAAAAAAAAGTTTTTATGTCACTTGTTTATTGAAAAAAAAATTGAAAAACTTTTTGGACTATAACTGATGTATTGGTATTGTTAAAGACGGTGTGTAAATGATCAAATATTAATACCTTGACCGAGTAACTTTAGATAATTTGACATTAAAATTTAGGCTACATTTTTTAAACATGTTACATCCCCTGACATTTATGCTTGAATGCAGAATATTTTAAGGGTAAACAAAATACAGTTGTAATATTTGGGAGCATACCAAGGTTAAAAGAAGATTAACATTCTTAATTCGTTAATTAGTTCCAATGAACTTTCTGAGTTATTCAAAGTGCAAGTTACGGTAAAAAAATATGTGAAAGTTTCTTTAATTATCCTTTTGAAATGTAAGTGAATTCGTAAAGATTGCTTATTCATGGATATTTCTCATTTAGATAAGAGTTTCCTTTATAATGAACAAGTGTACATATTGCTCTAATTCAAGCAATTGCAAAATAATACAGGAGTTATTTAAAAACTTAACATTCTTAATTTCCGAAGATTTAAAAATTTCAACTCAAAGATTATGTGCCTAATGGCTCATCATATTCACGATTTCAATACCAGTTCGATATAATAAACGTTTCTTGTAAATATTTTATTATTTTTCAAAAGCTGATCTCGTTTTTTTAGTGTTTTCTACATAATGAATTCCTTGCACTTATAATTCATAGCCAATTTTGTTTTAATTTGCTGAGTGTTTCAAAATAGTTATTATGTTTACAATTGACCTAAGAGAACGGTCAAAATATTGGGTTCAAAAAAATTATCTAACAGCTAATGGGGTAGAAATTGACACCGTTTGGGATTGAATTAGAATCCTTCATACTTTAAGGCGAGTCCTTTAATGTAGATTCCATAAATTAAGTCTATGTTACATACTATAACTGTCCCAAGAAACATAATGTTACAAGAGAAGTTAAAAAAAATTTCCATACAATATTTGTTGATACAATCAGTACCAAACAAGAGATTCTAATTTTATTTATTACCGTTTATAATTTTAATCTTTTAACATTTGGTCCTATTTAAATCCGGCTCGAAGGGCCAAAAAAAGTTAACTTAGTAAGTGACGCTTAAAACTGATCCTAGGATGTTGATAAAAATCATAAAGATGTGTCTACCAATTTCAAATACAAGTTAATTTTTGTGCAGAAGGATGTTGGAAGAAAATAACATAGGTCCCTTCCCAATATTGGCTTACATAGTAAACTCATCGTTTCTCAACTAAGGTCATAATTCGATTTCCATTTTTCACCTTAATCTTTTCACGTACGTAGTATGTACCAGTCTAGCTACCTACCCTAGTAATTTATTCTCCGAGGACTTGTAGGGAGGGACATGGAACCCATTAGTCTGCACATTGGTCTAATTGGTGCTCCACTGCTACAGTAATTGCTGCTGTCCCTTGCGCATATGTTAACGAATCAGAGATTACCTACACTGACCGTTAATCTGCTGCATACTACAGACTCCCTTATCCCATGTTTTAACGCAACCCTAATTATTAGTAGCGTCACGGCAATCCTACTTCTTCTACTTCAATACCGATTAGATTATACATATTTACTTTTTCGTCCACGGCTTAGTGTTGTTAGGAATTTATTGTGAATTAGATTCTACATATTTTTTCTTCCAAACGCAACCAATGTTTAAGATTGATGTTTAAGATCTTTGCGCGATTACTGTTGCGTGTGCGTGTGAGAGTTTTCTTTTGTATATTCTATTTATAATAATTACTATTTTTTAAATTGAATTTTTGTTTTGAATGTTTGTGTTCTTGATGTGTTAAATATATATATTTATATTCGATTAAGAAATGTCTTTGTATTTTTATTTATTTATATTTAAGTTTGTCAGGTTAAGTGTAAGAGAGGGCCATGTGGCCCTAACTTTGCCTGGTAAAATAAAGATTTTTTCATTTCATTTCATTTCATTTCAAGATTGATAATAAACATATACAGAAACAGTTAGTAGATGTAATTTGTGTTAAAAACGCCCCGTTTTATACATAAAAGAACTCCACGCGACACTAAAGCCATTGTATGAAAGTTATTTTACTATTATTTTTCACTTTAAAAAAAACAGTTTTATTTTATTCCAGTTAAAAACACCCCAGTAAACGTAAAATTAATCTACTAATGTTATTTTATTGGTGTCACTCAATTTATCTTTTCAAGGTTTCTTTGAACATTTTTATTGCAAATTTGTAAAAAAACTGCCTAAATTTAAACAGTAAAATCACAGCCAAATTTTAAGTTTTTTTTTCTGTTTTAATACGCAGACGTAGAGTATATAGATATACCCACATTCCAACAAAAAATCCGTCACTAATGCATTGTGAAAAAATCTTAATTGTGCAAAATAAGAGCCTCTATTTGATTTACAAATTTACCAAACAGACTTAATGTTAGGTTATTATCAAGTAATTAACAGAATGCTTACTAAGTCGCAGTAATACTCAGCTTACAGTTCTCTTCTCAGGATTTGCGTGCTCTACAGTCTACACTGTTGGCAATACAAGTCATGTTTGTTGGAAATATTTGCTGAGTTTAATGGAACTTCATTATTAAAAATATACAGTTTGTTAGAAAAGTATCACGTTAACTGTTATACACCAATATAAATTGGTATACTTTTGATACTCATAAGAATATATGGAGAAAGTATTGTTTTCGTCAAAACTAGCTAAAGACTAAACTTATGATCTGATTTTGATGAAACTTGTTAAGAGGGTCCAAGGTATCTTAGGGCGGGTAAAAGTTGTATTTTGTATTGGTGGCTTCCAAAAAATACCTTCAACGTCGTGTAAAGTAGGATTTTCACGAAAATGACCTACACAATTTTTATTTACAGTATTAAAATTTTGTAAGTTCCCCCTTAAATTCTTAACAAAACGGTAAAACCCCAAATACTGTAAAAATAACGGTTTAAATTTTAAGGCAACTTTTGAAATTTTACCAATAAAATGCCACAGTTACTCCCACCACTTGTTCATGATAAGGATTAATTACACGCAACTTGAGAAAGTATGTGTAAGATTGCTGATACAGTTTATTTCGTCTCATGTGGAAAATCTGAAATGTGATCAGAGGTTGATATCAGAGAGCACAGAATAGATTTATATTCTGTGCTCTCTGGTTGATATAAACTTCATTAAATTAAAGGTCTTGTAAAAACATATGAAGCAAACGCGACATCAAAAAGTTTACTATATTTAGAATGGCGGTGTTTTAAACCACCTGATACAGATTTATAATAGTTAAAAACTTACCGTTCTGGGACTTTCCTAACACACCGCATTGAAATATGTAATAGCATTACCTTTAAATTTATTTTCCATCGTATCGTAATTCGGCGTTTCAAAGTTTTCCTGTAGCTATTTACATGATTTAGAAATGAGTCATGCGCCTTCTTGTAGAACTCCTTCTACAAAAAGCCCTTATCATTGACTATTAATTTACTCTGGGTATTGTTTGTATGTTAAAGTCAATAATAATTAGTATCTGAGTTCCTACTTGTTGTTCAGTCCAGCAAGGAAAATAAATTAATATCTAGCACTTATATGTATAGGGTACCCCGTAGTAAGTACACGGCCAAACTCCGAGGAATGGTTATATAGATCATAATAAGGTGAAAATCAAGAATTAGTTTTTATCTTTGGATTGTTCTAACCGATCTTTATGAAACTATGTAGGTTAAGGCAGTTTAAGAGACTTTTTTATAAAAACAAATAATTTGGTTGAACTCAAAATTTTGAAATGGCGGCCATTTTATTTTTATTATGTCAGTTTAAAAAAAAATGCAGATTTTAAACATTTGTCAACTATGGGTTGTTTGACAGAAAGACTTTTGAGCTCTATTAATTTTCTATCAAAGTTAATTCTATCGTCAAAACATCTGCAAAAATATACTTAAAAGCTCAAAGTGGTGACATTGTTAGATATTTAAGGTTCCTTTACAGTCTTACACTTTGCGACTTTTGAAAGAGGAAGGAGTTGAGGAGAAATTATTCACAATGGCAGAATATGAGAAAAGAGGTGTGAAGAAGGTGAGTCGTTTACACGCGCAAACGTCTACTAAAGAATTCTCTTTCCAAGTCTTAGCTTTGACGTCTAGCGTCTTAATGTTAGGTCGCTTTTAGAATTAAATACTACACACTTAATTGAAATTCCTGTTTATTTCCACTCTATTGAATTCAACAGAGTTTAAGTTAACGTAATAAAGCTGAAATATTTTTATGGCTAATCAAATCGAATCAAAATTATTATCAGAAGACTGTTCTAATTGTTTTATTAGAATTTTAATATTTCTAAGGTTGTAGACAAATACACCGTTGTCTAAAAACAATCAATACATAAAAAAAACATCGTTTTACTTCATAAGTAGGCCTATGTGGTGAAATTATATTGTTTTATATAATAAAGAATGGATATAGTTATCACTATTAGCCTAGTATTAGTTTAGTATCGGTCAATACCTGTTTCAGATAGCTTTGACACTTAGATATTAAATCAATTAGTACATCACGATTAATTTTGTAATTTGTTTTTTAAAGTTATTTTCTACTTTTTTAACACCATTCTAAATAAAAAAGTAACGTGAAACGATTGAGTTGGAATAGTTTTGTTATACAACGCAAACAGAAAGAACAATCGGAAAGTATCAAAAATGGTACAAATAATACACGATTACTATTTTTCTATTGTAATATCGTATTTAATTACGTGCTTTCCGACGAATACTTAAAATAATCGTTAACATCTCTATTATTTTGTATCATACATGGGTAAAAACTTACTCCTATAAAAATAAATGTTTTCTACAATCGTCGAATGGTTTTGCAATGGAGCAAGTTTACAAAAGAAAATGTTCTTCTTATCTGGTAGATGCACTTATTTGGTCTTCTGTTCAGCTATACCTACAGTTCAAGATAGGTTTCGAACCATTGAAAGGCACTAGTTAATATTTTTGGCAGAGAAATTTAAACACGACTTTAAGGACAAACATCACGCGTTCCAATTACTTGACCTTCAAAATTGAATCTAGACTAGTAACAATTTATCATTTCCGTGACTAATTTCAAATCGATTTGCTGGCGAAATCAAGCAGTCAAAATAACTGGAGCAGACGACATCAAAATTAAAGTCATTTACTCATCACCTTTTGTTTTTCTACAACCCTTGTGGCCATTTTCGCTATCAACTACTGGTAGAAGAAAAATGTTAAAGTTAATTGGGTTTGCCTGAATAATATCAATTAAGATTTTTCATTGAGTTATGTAAAACTATTATCTTTATACTCAATAAATAATCATTTAGGTCAGACTTATTGATTTCGGCTGAATGTAACCAATACTTATCCCATTGTACGCAGCATTGCAAGGGGTGAGTTTCATATGTCCAGATTACCCGCGTATGGCTTCTTGATCCAATCAGAAGCTGCCCTTCCAGAGAGTCACATTACTTGCATTGACTTCTTCATCTTATAAGTTATACTTAGGAAATTATTTCAGCAAGATTTACCTTGTAGTCTGAATTTTCATTGGATAAATCCATACATCTTTCAACCTGTATTCTGATATATTTCTTGATTTGAACATTATTAGAATCTTGTCTACGAGAAATGGAGGCCAGTATAAGATAAGGGTGATAAATACTTGGAGATTCCAATCAATTCGACTTGATAAAATATTAGAAGATGCGTTTTCAATAGACAAGCTTTTAGAAATAAAAACATATTCTCGTTACATTAACCTTTAAAGTAAGAAGGTTCTCTGCTTAATTATTTAATTTTATTCAAGCATTTTCATTATTAAGGTAAATTTATGAAAGATTAGCACAAAATACGAGTAGCGATTAGCACAAAATACGAGTAGTAGTAACACCACGAGAAATTGTCTTTGCAATCCGTTAGATACTTTGATTTTTTACCACAATAAATATTAAAATCAATAATAATATAATGGAATAAAGATATGTTATGCAGATGTATTCTCTTTAGGAATATCATGCATTTCACATATTTTATTTATCACTTTTGAAAATCAATAGTTAATAATCGTGAAGAATGGTTGTAAAACTGCACGATACCAAACTGTTTGTTTGAGAAGCTGATTTAAATGGTAACAAATTTATTATTGGATTTTACAAGTAAATATAATAACATATACATAACAAATTAAAAAATACTCAACTATACCCGTTTAGAATGTTACATTCTAAGAAATATTGAAATGTGTGCTTGTGTGTTAAATTTATACGAGGATAATATCTTGGACAATTGATCCAATATTGAATAGTCTAAAGCATTTTAGTGAAACTCCCAGGATCTACCACTAGAATGGAAACGTTTAAACACAAAATCTTTTCAAAAATTCTTTTACTTTAATTTTAATGAAGTTTCATGGTTCCTAAATGTAATTAAAAAACTCTCAAATTTTGTTTTTAACGAACAGTAATAATGAACACGGAGAAAGTCTAAATTACCACAAAACCAATTACGCAACTTAACTCAAAATAACAATTAGTTAACGAAGTTTACGAAACGAGTGAATTTAAACAATTTAAACGCAAACAAACGATCGTTTTGTCCTAACCGAGACTCGCAATATGTAGCATATTGTTTGGCTGTTCAAAGTGGGTGGTTCATTAGAAGCCATTAGCGGTTAAGTGTTCAGAAGTGTTCAGAGATACGCTGCACATGGTTTGGCTAGTAAACACATTGTAACTTCCTATTCTATTTCATGTGAAAACCTGTTATCGTTGAATAAAACTACTGTAAAATAGAAAACTGAGCTTTTTAGTTATTCCATTGTTATTCGTTAATAGTATATCGAGTAAACCGAGGTGGTATAGTATTTTAATGCTCTTTATGCAAGTGGCGTTATCAACTTTTTTGCAAGTGAACGATCCAGACCCTGGTCTTGTTACTACCGTCGAACCAATATTTAGAAAACATCATTTGGAGCTGAATGACCAAATGACATCTTGGTTTGGTGACGATTCCGTATCACTTGGAATCGAACCTGCGACCTACAGATTTGAAGGTGATCACTATAACCACCCGGATACCCAGGCAATTGTTTACGGAAATTCATTTTGGCAGATTAAAAAGTTAGTAAATTCTTAACCTTATCCGTATTTTATTGATATTCTAGTTTAACTTCTTACTCAAACTGTAATTTCAACCGCAACACTTCTCGGCTAAAACTGTATTTAAGTACAAACAGTATTTTCCCATGTCTATACACTAAACAGTTAACTTACCGGTAAATTGGGTGCTGCATTAGAACCATGTTGTTTTCATCCATCCAAGGTTTTTTCTATAACAGAGGAAAGAATTTTACAAATTATTGTAGTATTGTATTATTTACATCTTCTTGTATTGGGTAGCTTTAGTTGAGAGAAATAAGAAAGTATGATAAAAAAATAGATGACATAATATAAGGTGATACAATAGGAGGTTATAAAAGGATGAAAAAAAGTTTCATGACTTAATTTTGACAAGCACAAAAAAAAGGGTTGAAACAAAAGGTAGACCTCACAAAACCCCATCAAGGTGTTAAATACATTTTTAAGAAACGTCAAATGAGCTTAAAATGAATAATATTCATATAAAGTTAAATAAAATAGGGAAAACTTCAAACCTAAAATAGCCGGAGCAGTTTGATAACTTGTTGATCTGTTAGTATTCAAAACAGATGGTCTGATTTACATATTTAAACAGATGTTTTAAATACCGTGTTTCCCGCATTTTAGAATACTTCCTACTAAGTTGTCTGGTATTAAATAAGTTAATGAATAGAAATAAATGAAATGATGGTTAATGAATAAAAAGTTGATAAGGCCTATTCAACCTATATAATTCTAAACCAAAATAAAATAAAAAATGCTTTAAAAATATTAAATAAATAAATCTAGGTGGTCTGCGCTTGGGTTTGAGCTGTTAATTATTATGTAGGCCTATGTAAACATCTTATTTATTAAAAGCACTATAGTTTTTAAATCAATGAAAATGTTTATAATAAAATCTGAAAACTCCTTTCAATATAATATGGATGGAAACCATGATTAAAGTTCTTTTTGCCCTGCTATCAAAATTTCAAAAGTCTTCATAAGTAAACAATTTAACCAACAAAGCTTTAATCATGCTTTACTAATAGAGTCAACTAAATAACTAAGCCATGAAAATAAACTAAGCAGTTAAATATGGTAAATTATTTTAAACAACACATTTACATCATAAAACAGCTGATTACAACGTAAGACAGCAATTCAGCTGCTTATGGTGTAATACAATCATTACCAAAGTTACAAAGAAGCGGAGAGCACTTTGATAAAGGAACTGGGACGAAATGGGGTTACTAAGAGACAAATGAGACAAATAACTCTTGAAGTGGAACGTTTCTACCCTTGAGACTATAAGTTGCGAAGCTGTATTTATTGTGCTTATTGTAACAGCGCTATTACGCTGGTCAAGAATAGACTGTATATCTTTTTACTTCAAGAATTATATGTTATGGAGTAAAAGGTTTCTTGTAATTTGTTTTGAAAATGCTCAATGTCTTAATTATTATTTGTTGTTACTCAAGCGTTTATAATTCACTTTGTTGGTAAAATAAGATATCGTAGCGATAAATTAGCATACACTTATATCACATGGAGCCAAAGTTGTACTAGCAGATAAATACGAACTACACAACCTTCCGAAAAAGTAATTTTAAGCTTAATATGACCTGTTAGTTTTAATAAAATGGATCCATACGATAAAACATCCTCTGACAATACAACAGTTAAACAACATAAGGTCAATTTAACAAAAATTAAGGAGAATAGATACTATAGCTAGCAGTTTGTCATATTGGTCAAGAGATAATAGGCCCGCGTCATAACTAAATGTTTAAACTATTTAAATTACCTTTTTCTTTTTCCTGAGGGTGACTCGCACTCCATCCACTGACACTTCCACCGTCACTTTCTTCTTTTTGATGCCTTTCGCCTTGAATTCGTACTGAAAAAAAGATTCTTTGTCAGCAAAAAAGTTATTTGATGTGTCAAGTAAATTGTTTTTGAGCTCAAGACAGCCTACGACATAGCCCATGTCACGTTGAATATATTTTTATATATATAAATAATAACAAAAACTTAAATTTTTTTAGATTTTTAATATATTTTTTCCAACGTTTAGGTTGAATATTTTTTTGTATACAGCGACACCAAAGATCAAATCCTCAAAGTAATCAATTTGAAAAAGAACTAACACGAATGATGATACAAACATCAATTGAGTTGTTATAAACATTCATTATTATCGATGATTTCTATTCGAAATACTTATCGATATTTTATAACAACCTTATTTAAAAAACGCCCTTTTTATAAGAAAATGTTTATTCTTTTAAAGAGTTTGTAGCAGTTATTTGTAAAGTTCGATGCGATTTATAAAGATTTAAGTAATGTATGCAACCATTCTTGTTCATGAAATTATTGACTTCTGACTTCAACACTGGAAGCAAATACAACATGAAAATCTCACTGCTTGGCCACAACAGATGGCCTCCCTAATGATAATGTATCAGACCTTTTAATAAGCTGCCTTATGATTTCGTTAGAACATTTTCAATCCCTGAGATGTGGCTTGCCACTAATTAATTTAAAGAATTCCCTGATTCCTCTTCTAGTGGTAACCGATCACAAGTACTTGAATATTAGATTATTAGAATGTTGTATTATATAAAGGAAACCCAATTCTTCTATAATATCTACCATCGGTAAAAAAATTCTTCGCTTTCGACACTGGTTAAAAAGTAATGAAACAACAACTCTTTTCATTGTTTCTTACACATGACATAATAGTCTTCATTTAAGGTGAAGTGGTCCAATTTGATGATACAGCAATTTGAAAAGGCCAGGGAATCTAAATCATTAGTAATGCAGCCAACTAATAATGAATAAAAACTTTAAACGCTATTTAGTTGCAGACATAAAAAGAAAAACAGATTTAGTAGCTCACTGCCAAGAATACAATCTACTTAACCTTTACTTTTGATTTAAGGCCTACAGCCTTATATTTAAGAAAAATTGACAATTAATATTTTTATTTAACCAGAATTTTACTCAATATTACATTAGAACCCACCACAGACACAAACACACACTGAAGCACGCCTTAACCTATTTCAACCCAAACAGAGGCCTTTAAAAGAGATTTCCCTGTCAAAAGAGATGCATGATGTACCCATATAGCCGCAATGCGCTGTTGTTCATATGATGAATTATGTACCGTCGTTGGCGCAGAAACACTATTACATTGCTGCTTTATCCAGTAGTTGTGTGCTTAAAAAGTACATTTTGTGCTGATACATTAAAACAATAAAAGTTTCGCTACATTACTGTGAAATGATCAGTTTTCGTTACATGTTTGTCACCAGCGAAAATTCATTACATTGTGTACTACGAAAACGGAACCTGTTTTTACCTTTTTTAGATTTTGCTGACGTAAACAAATTTGTTATTGTTTTGTCAACTGTTTCCATTTTCAACAACCAAAACTGTACTAAAGTACTAAAGTAAATGAAACTTTAAATTGAAGGCATAATCTAAAAAAAAACTTTATGAGTTTTCTAATGTTCCATGTAAAAAAGAAAAAATATCAAATGTCTGTTCTAATTTAAAAAATAATTAGTCTTTGTAGTTAAGAGAAAAAGTAACGTTCAAAACACGAGTGAAGGTTGGTCCATACAAATTCTCGACCATTTAAAGTGCTCGATAAATTTCGCACTCAAAAATATGTAATGACTCACTTTCTACTTTTGCTGTGAAATATACTATACCTTAAAATCACCTGTTAAGAGATTAAAGAACTGTGTGATTGATATGACAAGGGCAAAAGGTTAACATCACAAACAGGCTTTTTACAGGATAATCAGTCTTGCGCTATCTAAACTCAATGGTAGTGCACAGAAACCCATTCCATTTATAGCATACAAATGTTTCGTACAAAGTGCAATAGTCTACTGAATCTAATGATGATTGTGTATGAACCGTATTCTGTTTATGATAGGACACGTTTGATTGGAATATCATTGGAACAGTGTTTCTCATTACACAAATATTAGTTCCAATACATATTTGAATACGAGTGGTAATCGTACTGTGGATATCTCTACTCTATTAGAACTGTCATTATTGATAATGATTATTATTGTTGCGATTTACTCATAAAATTAGTATATATCAACGAGAGGTATTTATCTGATTGTAAAAATTTAATATCTCGTCGTACGCCCCGATAGAGCTTTGTATATCGTTGGTGGTACGATTTACTATAGAATATTTTGCACTTACTACTTTATAACCAACAATTACCATTACAACTCCCTAGGGAGCGAGCTGATCTAGTGGATAGAGCGTGGGACTTCGGTGCCCGAGGTCCCGGGTTCAAATCCCACCAAATCACTAATGGATTTTATCTAAGTGATAATGCCCCCTAGGTCTAAAATGAAGTAATGTGAAAAACAATTCCGGGCTGGTGCCTAGACGTCCTAAGAAAAAAAGAAAAAAAACTACAACTACCAAAGTGCTAAGTCTAAATTGCAAGAAATGTTATAAACGTTGTAGTGGCGAGTGGTGTTTAATCTTCACAGATTCATGTTAAAATTTCAACTTAATTTAGTCTGATTTCTATGAATTCAAAACTGAATATTGTCTTCCACAAATAAATAGAACAGCCGACGTAAAATACTGTAAAACGTGAGTGAATCAGACAATTCTATGATTCAACTAAATAATCGAGATCTGAGTAATTACTCCTTATTGTTTAGGAAACAAAAACGCCTTTGTTCACAAACGTTCCGGGACGAAAATTGGCCACAACACGCTCACCTTCACACATTCCCCACTATACGAGGGTCGTGAGTGACGTCATAATAAGTTTAAGTGTCATCGTATGGACAGGGTGAATCAGACCCGTGTACAACGGTTTTGCACGGCAAGCGTTAAAACTACATCTTTTATTTAAAACCCACCATTTTATTTTTTTTGTGGGTTACAATTTTAAAATGTCACTTTGGACAGATTTCTTTTAATGTTGGGTTGATTAAAAGTATAATTTATAAGTCCGAAAAAGTAATTTTAAAAGTTAAAACGCGTAAAAAATCCAAGATTTTTTACAAATTTTGTTGGTAGGGTGTTTTTTTTTTAGTTAAGGAGTGCGATTTTCGAAAATCGTCAAGTCAGGAATTACGTCAGGTCAGGAATTAAATTTTCTACACGGTGCTCTCCGAATGTTCATACATTCATTCAGATTTGCTATCAGATCCCTAGCTATTCTAGAATAGGGTAAACATTTGTACACCTGATCAGTGTCAGAGAGTTAAGCAAGCGGCTGTGTATCCCAAAGTATGTGCACGGATTGTCTAATTCACCTTGTATACGATTGAAATATTTCAATGAAAGAATATGTTGATAATTAAATAAATCAATCATAATGTTATACATTTCACGTTTAGGGTTTACGTATCTGTGTTTGCACGTTTGCTAATTATTTTGTCCGCCTCATATTTTAGGAGGCTATTCGTATGCCTAAACTTCACGAGATTTTACACGTTGCTAAAAGCCATAGGCAATTTGCACATTTTTGAACCCACGACCTCAGGGCCGAAGCCTCGTGCTTTAATAAACTAACCCCCCCCCCCACAGCTTAATCATTATAAATAGTTAATTAACACAATTAACTGTTTGAGGGCGTTAATTTAACTGGTAAAACAACAACAATAGTGTAATCATGGTCAACACAGATGTAAAACTAAGTTAAAGCATTGGTAAATAGTCTATGGCTAAATCCACACTAGGAGTAGAAATACGTTAAACTATTGGTATTGACACATACGTGAAGTGACTTTGAACAGCGTAGCAAATCAAATGCATCACATACCAATTAATTTCCTAATATAATGATTGGTTAGTTTTATGTTCCGTTATATTGGATTTATATTTTTACAGATTAGGTGGAAATTACTAATTAGGTGTAATAAAGGTTTCTTTAGAGTTTTCAAAGTTCCTATAAATACGCTTATCATTTTCATACGATTTTAGCGAATTTCCCATAGAGGGAATAAGCTATTACCGTAGTACTCATGGTAAGACCTGGACGTGGGACCGATTTTTTTTCGTTTTGAGGTCCCTAGAGGCCAAAAACACCATCCATTCAAATTCATATATATATATACAGGGTGAGTTTTAAATGTCCCCCCCCCCAACTTTTTTCTACATTTTTTCAAATATCAATCCCAGACCACTTCCAAACATTGTTGGGTAGTAAGTACTTCATTTTGACAAGGTGGTCATTTCCGGCCGCCATCTTGGATCCGCCATATTGGATGAAAAATTTTTTTTTCAAATGTAAAGGTGGGGTTGTGACCCATTATTTTTAACTAGATTTTTACCCTGATTACAATGCCACAAACCGTTTCAAAAAATCTTGATTCATTCCAAAGTTATGAGGGCTTTTTAAAACTTTATTTTTAGCCCATTTTAACATTGTGCATTTACAAACTAAGGACCATAATCTCAAAATAGTGCTAGATAAAGACAAGTATACACTACCAGTCATTGTCGACATATTTTCACTTGGTTATGACTGATGTAATTTTTTCGGCCGCCATCTTGGATCCGCCATTTTGAAATATGATAAATTATTTTAAATATGAAGGGGGTGTTGTGACCCATCATTTCGGATTACTTTTTTAAGCTGAACTCAATTCCATGATCCGTTTTTCATTTTCATATTTTGATTTTGAAATATTCACATTTTTAACAAAAAAATTCAATATCTCATAAATAAAACTTGATAACAAAAAAATGATTGCGGCATTGAGTTAAGCTTAAAAAAGTAGTTCGAAATGATGGGTCACAACACACCCTTCATATTTAAAATAATATATCACATTTCAAAATGGCGGATCCAAGATGGCGGCCGAAAAAAAATACATCAATCATAACGAAGAGAAA